GCTCGTTCCAGGTTATTTTTATTAGGAAGTCGTTTCAAGTTCAAGACACAAAGCCGATAAAACGCCACTTCGGAACACATCGTAGGGAAGCGAAAGCTAATTCCAGCCACAGAGCGAGTCTGTTTTCTCTCTCAAAGCAAGAAGCCGTAGAGGTAATTCTGCCGCGGACTTCGCAGCGCGAACCGAAAAAAACGCCAGTTCTGTCCAAAAACCACGATTTGTGCTGTAAAAACACACGCGTTTATCCTGGAAGTGGTTTGCGTTTTGGAAAACCTCGTGGCTGGAGCACCAGTAGAGAGGAAGAAGATTGAAAAGCTTTATTTATGTACATTTTCACCGAACAACAGCTGTTAAATCCGCAGCCTGAAGGCTTTAAGACAACTCAAGTTCTTTTTTTCAAGACACACGAAATGTATTTTGTTATAAAACTATCAGTATCGAGACAAGTGAAAGGTGACTCCTCACCGTGGGGATGTCACAGGGCTGAGCTTCATCAGCTCCTGTTTGGTCTCCCTGCAAGGTGCCAAAACTGGCTGAGCTTTCCTGGGACAAATGAAGCTCCCACTGAAGTCAGTTACTTAGAAAAATTAGACAAGGGAAATGTGAATAAGGGTGTTTAGAGACATAATAGGGGCATCAACAGTTTACATCTTTACGCTTTAGAACAAACTGAGGAGAAGAAGGAAACCTGTGTGATGTGCTTTCAGAATTATCACCTGGAGGGATCTGATCTTTTGTCTTTCCTCTGAAAGGGATGCAAGGGACAGGACTAAATGGGTGTTTCTGCTGCTTTACATGGCATTTGCTGGAGCAGGGAAAGAACAGCTGTGTTTGATGTCTCTTGATGAGTTAAAAAGACCTTCAGTTACTAAAATGCAGAGAAAACTGCTATTAGATTAAGCACCTCACAACAGCAGGAAACGACAAAAGACCTTTATCCCTGGATTCTGTTAAAGGCACTATTATATGAACAACATGTTGATTTCCAGCTTAATTTATACCAATAACTTAGAGAACTAAACCAGTAACAGGTAATATGCTGTTCCTGGTATGCAGTGCAAGTATCCCCTAGACCTAAATAACAGTAACCCTAAAGCTTGAGCAGGAATGCCCAGCAAAATAAATGCACTCTTCAGAGGAATCAAAAAACAAACCACAAACCCAAAACACTTCAGCAGAAAGTTCGGTAGTTCGAGTCTGAATTTATAGAAGGGGTTTTTTTTACCACTTTTCCCTGTTTTTTAAGGCACTGAGATGGTTTTGTACTTCTGGGGGAGTGGGGGGCTGGGGAAGCAACAGCAGGTTCTGCAAGCTGCCTGTGTGTTCAGTGCATCTCAAAGCAGGAGTGGGCATCTTCCAACTTACTCAAGAAATAACAGATAAAGAGAGAAACTCTGGTGCTATCATTACATTCTGGTGCTGCAAATTTGAGGAATTAAACCCAATTATCTATGTCGATGTGTTTAAAATAAATAAACTACTGTCATTACGAGGGGGAGTGTAACAGAAGGAAATCTCTTTATTTGCCATCATTTTCTATCCCTGTAGGGCAATAATCTTGGAACCTGAACCACTGGCTATGGTGCTGTTGGCATGGTGCTGTTTTTCCTGCTTTTCCTGGAAAGCTGGCTTGCTCTGAGTGGCAAAAATGCCACTCTACACAGGTTTCTTCTTTCTGTCAGTATTACCTTGAGAAAACACACCCCAGCTGGGCACTATCCCATTAACTGAAGTCTCAGGTGTACCTGGGAGCCAGGAAATCACTTTGTTGGCTGCTGTGGAAAAACTGACTTCTAAGTTTCAGCTTGAGACCCTCGTGGATTTGCTGCCACTGTCATTGTCCCAGCTGGGCCTTTCTTAGGAGCAGGGGGTCCTGTTTCCTGGGCTGATACCTCCAGAGTAAGATCCCAGGCCCAGTTTTTAACTGGCATCTGTTGATAACAAGCTGTGCCAGAGTGACCCAAGCCTGACTTGGCAGTGCCAGCACTTAGTGCAGTGCCACAGCTTGTGCCAGGGCAATTTGAAAAGAGAAATCTATGCAAAAGACAGCAAAGATGTGTCAATTCAACCAGATACTTGGAGCAGCAACACTTATTTCCATTCCTGAAGTGACAGAAAAGTGATGGGAGTTTGAGTTTCTTTTGGAACACGAGATAAATATCATAAAGGGGGGTATAATCCACACAAACAGGTGCCCTGGAATGCACATGTTTCCTGAAATCCCATTTCATTTCACTGTGATTCAGTGAAATAAAGACCCCCCTGACTTGTAAATGCTCTTGCTCATCAGAATGGTCCATGATGTCTAGTTTAACTGAACTTCTCCCCATTGTGTGTGGAACAACTGCATCAGAAATCTGAACTAGTGGTCACCAGAGAGACAGAGCTGCTATGGGGATATTGGTAGCAAAAAGCTGTTCTCTGAAATGGTGAATTATCTCGAGTAAGCCAAAAATTAAAGAGATTCTGAGCCTTGGCTGTAATTTATTTTCCCCCTTCTCGAGACAACCTTTCTCCCTCCCAGTCTGGTTCAAAAGGAACATTCTCTTATGAATAAATATGACAAATAGAAAAATAAAAATATAGAAACAAACTATGTAAACGCAAGCCCTGAGGTATTTCAAGCACACAGTGTAATTTTTATACCTGACATGCAATCTAAAGGTGCCAGTAAGAAACCTTACTTTGTGGCTCTGTAAAAATGTCCCATCTTTCTTTCCTGCTTTGCACCCACAAGAAAGGGTGAGAGGTTGAGGTAAGAGCCCTGTGGAAGCTGTGATAGTCACAGAAGCAGAAATTGAGGATTTTTAAAGTGCTGTGTGTTTTTTTTCTGACCGTTTTCACTCTTTGTTTGGCTTCCACAGGCCAGTTAGATTCTAGAGAGATCTGACAAAGGGGCTGCTTTTCTGCATCTAGGCTCCACTCCTGCACCAGTTTGTAGCCACAGTGAGGCTTTTGGGACAAAGAGGCTGCTGAATATGGATTTTAGTGGCCCCTTTAACTCACAGTTGGGTTTTTTTGGTGTATCTCAGGCTCCTTGGGAAGCTTAAGCACACTTTGCACTGCAATTCCTCCCAAATGACTGCCTTGTCTTGCCAGCTTCCCACCTCTTTCCCCCTCTTCCCTTAGCCTGGATCTCCTTGGACATGTTTCCTCCCCCAGAGCTTTCTGCATTTGCATGAAGGGTCCAGTCCTTAAAAAAAAAATAAATATCCAGTCTCTGCATGACAGTGAAGTCAGTGGGTCTACTCACATGAATTAAAGTTTGCTGGAGCAGGCCCTTAGGCATTAGTTATTTTTAAATAAAGTCCAATTTTATTAATTCTACTCTGTTTGGGCTTTGGAAAGAACAGTTACAAAATGGATCGTGGGTCTTGCTTTTTACAGTGGCATTTGTTCCTCTGCTAATTCTTGTCAAACAGGGGCTCAGTGTGAGAGGGTTCCAAGCACTGTGTCCCTGTGGGATGTGCAGATTCCTGCACAGGGAGACTCTGGATGCACACACAACATATTCCATTTGCACATACTTACCTAGGCAAGGTACTGCACATCCAGGGACCTGCTCACGTGCATATACATTTGTAAGGGCAGATATGCATGTGCTTACACAAGTGTAAACTCTTAATTGCACATATACAAACATTAAAAATCAAATTAGTCTTAGATGAACCTTTTGCATTTTTCATTAAAAAGGACATTTTAACCCCCTTTTTTTTTTGTTCACTTCAGTTTTACTGCAACTAATACAATTCACCTGATCACCTAATGGGATGTTTTCCTCTCAGTATGTTAAAACACTGATTA